TCAGACAGGAGGAGCTCTGAGACATCACATCTGCATTTACATCATATTTATATATATAAATAACTATATATATATATATATGTAATGATGAGTGTTTACAAATTTAAGTAATGATGAGGGTTTACAAATATAATGATAAGTACTTTGGGAAATAATTTAAACGATTACAGAATAGATGCCGTGAGTCTGTGGTTTGATGTAAAACATAAAAGAAAAAAAGAACTTATATTATCAATTGAAACATTTCTGTCGGGCTTATTTATTTCCTAAAATCTGATGTAAATGCAGATGTGATGTCTCAGAGCTCCTCCTGTCTGACTGTCCTCTTCATTATCCAGAAGCATTTGTTCATTGTGGTGTTCAGTCCACTGTAAGTTTATTTAAACGCTCATGTGATCGTTTTATTTGTGTTGTCTTGATCAGTCCTCTTTAGCTTCTGGCTCCGTCAGGTTTTTATCGGGTGCCATTTGTAAAGTTGCACAGTCAAAATTTAACAGCAATATTTTTGTTTATTTAACCTTTAATAAGAAAACAAATAGGGTTTCTTTTTTTCAGTCATATTTTCACCATGTTATTCATACATTTATAAACGTCATAATTTAAAATTTAATGTTTAATTTACAAGCTAACTATTTAGTTTACAAACTAAATAGTTAGCTTGTAAATTAATTATTTAGTTAATAAACTAAATGTTTAGGTATAAATTAAATATTGAATTTTCAAGCTAAATATTTATTTTCAAAACTAAACGTTTAATTTCCAAACTAAATATTTAATTTCCAAACTAAATATTTAACGTCCAAGCTAAATATTTAATTTCCCAACCAAACATTTAATTCTAAGCTAAACATTTCATTCCCAAACTAAACATTTAATTCTAAGCTAAACATTTAATTCCCAAACTAAATATTTAATTCCCAAACTAAATATTTAACTCTGCAAAAAACTATTTTTTTTTAATGAAAGGCTAAATAAACCAAAACAATGCTGTTAATTTTTGACTGTGTAACTTTACAAATGGCACCCCATAGATTTTAGCAGTCAGGCTCTCCTTTTGTGAAACATCAGAATGTGCAGCAAAAATGGAGCAACACTTTTCTTTAACATCTTTTTTAATTCAATTTACATCAGGTGATTTATACTTCTCACTGTCTGTGTGTGTTTCTTTGTAAATCAGGAACTACACGAAGACTCAAAGTTTTAAAAGAAAACTACGGATTACACAGATGCACATAAAAAGGGTATTTGGACATTTTAAAAAGATTAATTTAAAACAGATGTTAGAAAACTGATGCGTTGCAATTTCCCTCTAAATATGAAATATATAATCCAAGCTCATTTTGAAGCATTTGTTTAATGTGGCATATATGTTGTTTTCATGCTCATCGTCCCAACTCAGCAGATTAAAAGCTGAGAAAATCTTTCAGTGTAGAGAACGTCTTTCTCTCTGGAGTCAAATGTTGAATAAGAAACGTTGGAGGCAGCTCGCCCTCTGATTCTGCAGACAAACTGAGCGTTGTGTTAATGTGTCATTCAGTTTCTGTGGTGCTGAGCTCACACAAGACAGGTGTTTCCTGTGTGTGTGTGTGGGGGGGGGGGGGCTGAGCTACCGCAGCCTCCTGTAGATCAAGATTTTGTTTTAATGGTTGTGTGTGAGCACCAGAGTGTCGACTGAGAGCCAAAACTCATTTCTGATCTTCATTTCTCTTCTGTGATCAGTGTGTTTATTTTGTGTTGCTTTGCATCTTTGTTCTTGTGTCAGAGAAATCAAATAAAGTAACAAAATCAACATTTATACGCGAGGGTTTTAATGTGTTGGTCTGTGTTAGTTATTAGGATGTATGGCATGTGTTGTGGTTGAGCCTCAGCTACTTTCATGTCAAACATATGTGTGTGTGCTAAGTTTGATTAGCTGGGGCGGCCATCTTGTATTAAGTCTCTATGTCTAGAACAGCCATTGTTTACTTTCTGGGGGTTTCACAAAAACATGTTCAGTGGCTTCTGAGATATTTTGCTAACAGACAAACAAATACTTTTGCACACAGAGGCACAGAAAATTACATGATTGTAATTATATCGCAGTCAACTGGTCTGATCTGATTGGGTTGCTCTGATTCGTCTGGTCTGACTGGTCGAATATGGCTGGACCATCATGCACTGTGCATACTATAGAGGCCCATTTTGGTGCTGAAACATTTTCTTACATGAAACCTATTATTTATTTATTTATTTTTCATCTGAGGGTTCAGATGATTGCACGGTCCAGAATCTGTCCATTTTAAGCGTGACTTGTCTTGGCAGGACCAGCTGACAAAAACAAATGTTTTTCCTCCACTTGTGAGCCCACTAAGCTAAAAGCAACTAAAAGGTTAATTCCCATGACCAACATCATGTCTCTGGCCCAGTGGTAAGGAGGTCGTCTTCCAGTTGGAGGACAGGGTTTGATCCCCTGCTCCTGGAGCGTGCTGAAGAGTTAAGGACAAAAAAAAACAAAACCTTATGAACCCAATGGTATTGTGATTTCTTGCAGATCATAATGTTGTGTTTAGATGAATGAATGTGACCCATCGTCGTGACCCCGGCTCCAGGCAGTGGGGCGGCCTTCAGACATTTTCTCTTGATGCACACAAGCACCCGCCCCGAGGGCTTCTGGAACTGGGTTGGCTTGTGAGTTGGAGCTTGTGCAAATGAGGAATCTTAGAAGACATAAAGAAGACTTGTTATCACATCATGTCACAACGTCCTCAGACCCCCGTAATCTGAGGAATGGGTGAACAGCATTACTCGTGTCAACTTCTTTTCTTATTTATATTATGCTCTTTATTTCGTTTGTATATTGAATGCCACACAAGAAAATTGACTTGTTTAATTCCTGAGACCACCATTATCTCTGAAAATATCCTGATGCATGCTCAATAATCCAGGTAGAAAAATCTAAAACCAGAGGACCAGATTTAACTTTTTTAGATATCTCTGAAAATCCACATCAGCACTGACCCTTGAGAGATTAAAAAGGGGCTAGTGTGTGTGTGTGTGTGTGTGTGTTGGGGGGGGGGGGGATTGATAGATGCAACCTGGGCTCAAACCTGCAGCCTCAGGATTATGGGACCAAGTCACTGACCGCCGAGCTACCACTGCCTCCTGTAGCATGAGATTTTTTTTTAATTATTGTAACAGTTATATTGTATGTATATTATTACTGTATAATGTAAGATGGAAACATTTTGTTATAATGTTACATGAAAATATTTTAGGTGAGTTTTAAAAATATGTATATTTTTTTAACTTTGTGCTCATTTTCCTGTGGGGTTTTATTTAAACAAATACCTTCTTCTGTTCCACAATTCAGAGAGTTATTATTAATATCCAGTCAGGTCATCTGGATGGTTTTTTTTGTTGTTGAGATGTTTCGTCCTTCATCCGAAGGACTTCTTCAGTCTGAGGAGCTCACCCACCAAACCAAACTGAATCCCACTAACGGCTCACTCCCATAGTGGGGAAAAAAACAGTTTGCTGGTGATAAGATGGTTTCCGGGGCCCGCCCTCTCCCCCGTCAACTCCTCTAAGGCAGCCATGCCAAAGTGGTTCAAAACACCAAAGTTCATGCTCATTAATCCTCAGACTGAAGAAGTCCATTGGATGAAGGACGAAACGTCTCAGCAACAAAATAAACCGTCCCTATGACCTGACTGAACGTTATTGGATTTATACCTGGATTAATGAGCACAAACTTTGGTGTTATTCATATCGTTATAAATTTACAGTAATAGAAAAAGCTCTGGAGCTGTTTTAAAGAAAATGTGAGCATTTCTATTGTAAACATATTAATATTTCTAATTCAATCAGAAAGAAGACAAAAAAAGTGTTTTACTGCTAACTGCACTTTAAGATGAACTGGAATCATCAGGGCTGTTCAAAAGTCAGAAAGTTGAAGTGGCGTCCTCTCAGATTGTTGTGCACACGCATGGCGCACCACATGCTGAACATGACAACCTGCCAAAATGTTGGAATTATTCAGAGTTCAGTCAGACGGTCGATTAACAAAGGTGCTCGCTGACGTGTAAGTTACAATCAAGTGAAACTGGAGTTAATTGGTTGGTTCTGGTTTCTATGGTTACCAAGGAGCCCTCAGGGGTGTTGCTAATTACATCCACAGAAGTTGTTTCTATTAACCGGTAGCTGCTCAGTGACAGAACATTAACCAAGAAAATATCTTTATTATAAAAGATTTTAGCGACTTTTCAAAAGGTCTTCACTGAAAAAAGACGGGC